TTTGAAAGACTAAGCCTCTAGTGGGCGCTAGTGACCGCCGAAGCCAGCAAAAGAGGCCTCTGACATACCCCTTCAACCATCTGAGAGGATGTCCCGAGTGGTCCGTGACGGCCCAGAAGGGCCTCAAGACGCCCCCAGACGTCGCCAAGACGACCCGAGAGAGTCCCCAAAGAGACTAAATATTCAAGACGCAGCACCAATCAGCAGCATTCAGCCGACAATCGCAACAAGCATGAGCAGCAGTACCTGGCTCAACCAGCAGCGCTCCCCGCCTTGCCAGAGAACAGCTCCGGAAGGGGCCACGGCCCTGGGAGCGAGTCCAGTGTCAGTGTCTTTTGCAAGGGAGCAAGCGGATGGAGAGTGGAGAGGGGATGCGGTGGACAGCAGGGAACGGGAACGCAAGGCGGGATTCGGGGATGGATGGAAGTACGTCTACGCCTCCCACCCCCAGGCTCCCCCTCCAACCCCTCCTCCTCCACCTCCCCCTTCCCCCAGCTAGAACCCGTTCAGAATCGGTCTTTGCGACCCCTCCTCGTCACCATCCCTGCCCGCGCTTCGGGCCGAGCCCAGTTCTGGCGAGCGAGGGGGTGGGATTGGCCAGAGGAGGAGTACGAGGAGTAAAGGGAGGAGGAGGAGGAGGAGGAGGAGGAGGAGGAGGAGGAGGAGGAGGAGGAGGAGGAGGAGGAGGAGGAGGAGGAGGAGGAGGAGGAGGAGGAGAGGAGAAGGAAGATGAGGAGGAGGAGGAGGAGGAGGAGGCGAGTGTGGAGACAGAGGAGGAAGAGGACGGGAGGGAGGAGGAGGAGGAGTAGAGGAAAGGGAGCAGGGGTAGGAGGAGGAGGAGAAGGAGGAGGAGGAGGAGGAGGAGGAGGAGGAGGAGGGCAAGGGGGAAGCAGGGGGACGAGGAGGGTATACAGGGGTCTTTGGACTCCCCCCGCCCCCCCCTGCAGTGGTCCTAGTACGCAGCCCCTGCCGGCGCCTGCCCCTTGCTGCGGCGCCAACCGCGCAGCGGAGGCACACCGCCTCTCGCCGCGCTGCAGCGCAGAGAGGCGCTGCCTCGCGCCTCTCTCCGCAGAGACAGGCGCCGCATCGCGCCCCTCTCCGCGATCTGCTTCTGTAGCGCTCCAGCCCGTGCTCCAGCCTCGTCGGCGACCACGCTGAGGTCGTTGCGCAGCCCCTGCAGGCCCCTGCAGGCCTCCAGAGAGGGGGGGGTGAGGGGGACGCTCCCAAATCTGCACCATGGATCCTTGTCGTTCGGAGGCCGACAGCAGGGGTCGGCCTCAACGGTGTAGGTTGTTTGATCGACGTCGTAGACCGCTTCCGTGGAGTGTTCTGGTTTTCGTTTTCGCTTTCGTGTCAAGGCCAAACATTTGCAAATCACGATGTCGGAGTTGCGCCAAAACGTTGTTCTTCAGCGATCGAGAACGCAAACGAAACGAACATGCCTTGCGGGCCTGCGCCCGCTGGGGTTAGTCCGGGCTTCTCTTCGCTTAACGGTGCTCGGCTCGAGGGCGGCCAAGGGGGGGTGAAGATTAGGTGGGGGTGGACATCACGGCGGGGGCCAGGATACCCCACCAGATCAATGCATCCCCTGCCTCCCCCCTGACCGCGCACATCCCTTGGCTCCCGTGCGTACCTCGGACCAGGATTTGCGAACCCCCTCTTTGAACGCCCCCTTCTTGGACGCCCCCGCTTTGCTCGAGCGGCCTCTGCCCACCCCCGAGACGAGCCGGTTGCTTTCCTGGGGGCCAGGTGGTGGCAGGCACGGTCGGGAGTTTCTCCTCAACATGTCGCTCCGTCGGTTCTGGCCCAGCCACGTTCCGGCGCGACACGCTAGCCACTTCCCCGGAGCCTACCCGTTGGTGTTCGTAGCCGGCTTGCGTCTTTACGACAGTCAGCGGGCTCCGTCTTCTTCGTGCCAAGCTTGCGTTGATTCACGAAGCTCAGACGCGCGGTTGGTGTCACCAGTTGTTCACCTCGATTTTGAAGTCGTTGCCGTAACACAAACACCACCACTTCCCTGCTCCGGGCGTCAGCGGTTCGAACTTTTCTCGTATTCCCGCCCCTCGGAGCGGAGCGATACATTATCGACTTGCACGACAAGGCGTGTCGCTGGGGTTGCCATCGCGACGAGCTCAGCCAAAGGTGTCGACCCTGCATCCTGGTGGTAGGGATGGAGTTAAGCGGTGGCGAGACGTCCAGGTTTGTCTAAAGGTTATAAACAAGTTGTCTGGTTTGAGAAGGTTGTGTTTTATAACAACTACTGACCAGGAGGTTTACACGGAATGTTCTGAGAACGTGTGTGGCTGAAAAGGATACTGTTTTATCTCAGCGCCCTCATTGTTCGAAGAGTACGGGCCGTTGTTGCTTTTTCAGCAGATTGGTGTTCCGAGAGGTACTTCGTAGTAGGTCTATAGGCATGCCAGGACGCACGGTCCCTGCCCAAAGGAGGAGGAGGAGGAGGAGGAGGAGGAGGAGGAAGAGGAGGAGCCGCCTGCCGCAGGAGTACATGAAGTGGCTCTTCCAGCAGCTGGAGGGCCCCGTGTGGGTCCGCGGCTGGGAGGCGGCCCCCTCCTGCGCCGCCCGAGGGGAGGCCCAGAAAGCAGCCCGTAACGCCCCGCTTCGCGCAGGTTCGGGCCGAGGTCTCACATCGAGGTCGGCTCGGGGAGGATTCTCTAGCGTTCTTCGTGCTCGTTGGGTTCTCGTGTGCATCCTGGGGGAGGGTAGCGCTTGAATGCTCTGCAGTTCGGCCGTCTTGAGGGGTGCTCGTCTGTCCTGGGTCCGGCCGTAATTTGCCCCCACCAGCTCATACAAGCACGATTCCCAGGGGAGCTGCCTTTGTGGAGGGAACGGGGCATCCTTTCGAGAGCGCAGGGGGCCTCTGTGAGGCACAGGCCATTTGGATGCCTCGCGGAATCTCTTGAGGTGCCTCTTGGGGGCCTTTGGGAGGCCTCTTGGGGTGCCGTTTGGAGCCACTTGGCGGTCTGCGGCGCCTCGTGTGGGCCTCCTTGGGTGCTTCTTGGGTGTCTCGGAGCCTCTTGGGGGCCCTGTGGGGGGCTTCTTGGCGTCCTTTTGGGGGCCCCTTCGACCCAGTTGGGCGCCTCTTGGGGCCCTCTTGGGGTCCCCTGGAGGCAGGTCTGGCGGGCTGCCATGGCACCGGCGGAGCGGCGTCGGACCCGGCCACGGCGGCGCCGGCAGGGCCCCAGGTCATGCGACGACGACCTTTCGATCCCTCCTCCGAGTCTGGGGGTTATCCACATCCGCCGCCTGGGGGGGATCGATCCTCGCGGACCTCCCCCGGCCGTGGATCTGGATTTCTATTCCTCGGGCCCCCGGGGGCCAAACCAGAGGTCCAGATGTCCACCGCCCGCTGGGCCAAGCTGCTCCATGACGTCGCTTCCCAGGGGTGGCCCCGGTGGCGATGGTGGCGCTCTGCCCCTGCCCGACGCGCGGGGCCGGAGGCCGCGAGGCGCAGGAGGAGGAGGAGGAGGAGGAGGAGGAGGAGGGGGAGGAGGAGGAAAGGAGGAGGAGGAGGAGGAGGAGGAGGAGGAGGAGGAGGGGGAGGGGGCTCCCCGCCTCGCCCTGCGCCCCCTCTGTCCCCCCCTCGGAGGTCGACAGACAGCCCACCCTGACACGTCGATGGAGGAATTGGCCGTGTTCGGTGCGCGAGAGGGCGTCGCGGCCGTCACTCTTTTGCGGGGCCAGGTCCTTCGATTTCGGCCGGGTCCCCGCAGGCCGGAGTGGCGCGCAGCGGCGCCGCCGCGCCCGTCGGCCCTCGTCGCAGAGGGGTGACCTCTTCGAGCTTGCCTCGTGCGTGGCCGCCGGCCTGGGCGGCGGCCTCCTGGCCGCCTCGTGTCCAGACGTGCTGGCGCCGCCGAGCTTGCGGCGGCGGGCCCGACTGCAGTTTCTTGCGTTCGACTGCCAAGACCAAGGCATCATGCCGGTGTGCCTCTGGCGTTCTGGGGCCATCTTGGAGGCCATCGGTCAAAGAAATCATCATGAGGCCAGAGTGGGTCCCGAAGCTGCGACACACACACACACACACACACACACACACAACCACAAACACACACACAAACGCACACACACACAAATCATGGACACTCTAACTTCCCGCGGCCCCTCCCGTCCACACCCAGGAGGAGGGGGTTAGGGGCATGGGTCAAAGTCCCAGCGGTAACACCCGAGACTCAGCATAGGCAGGGTCTTTTGTCGGCAACCATCGGGGACACTGGGCAATTCGACCCACTTCCACCATCCCTGTTTAAAGCCATGCAAAGTCACGGCGGGGTCGACAGCTCTGTGCATCGCGCGTGCGCCCGCAATCCTGCTGCATCTGTGTGCTTGTGCCAGGGGTGGCGGGCCTGCAGGAGCGGCAGGCCATGTGTCGCTCCCCCCCTTCGCGCCGCCCCTGGCAAAGCGCCATCTGCAGATGTTGTGTTCTTGTCGGGCGAGGTGGGCCTGCATGCACAAGGCAGTATGTCGTCTCCCCCCCCCGCCACACTTGTGGGCAACCGAGGAAAAGTGATCCTGGGGCGCCCGCCCACGATCCAGATGTCGTCGGGGGCGGCAAAGGGGGGGGTAATGACTAGGGGGGGGGTGTCATGGCGTGGGCAAGGATGTTTCCCCAGATTGCATGGCGCCTTTTCTTATTTCATTACGTCCCTGGGCCCCCCTTGGGCCGCGCACATGCCGCCGGCCATGATTTGCACCCCCCCTGGTGGACGCCCCCCTCTTGGCCGCCCCCGATGTTGGTGCCAAATGCATTCTGCACATCGGTTTTGCCAGGGATGGCTGGGGCGTGGGGTTGCGGTGTCCTGGGTCTGTCGCCCGTCGGGGGGGGGAAGGGAGGTGTTCATGTCCGCGGCTCAGGGAGGGGCGTCCAGCGCGGATCCAAGCAACCCGCGCGGAGCGCCAACAGTGTGGGTTTATGGCGTTTTTTCTTCTACTATAGACCACCTGCGCCCAGAGGGTAGGTGGGACTCCTTCCCTCCCCCCCCTCCTGATCTAGACCACGCTCCTCTTTCTCGCCCGCATCGCAGATGCATCGGTGATGCTGCTCGATGTGGGGAACAGTTTTTTCCAAGCCGACGTCGCCGATGCATCGGCGATGCATCGGCGACGTCGGCGCGATTCTGCGACCCGACCTGCCGCAGCCCCGCTTGGCCGCGGCCCCCATCCTAGGGGCACACGTCCCGAAGCTTTGGGGGGGGGAATTGGCGGCGGAGGGAGGGAGGGAGGGAGGGAGGGAGGGAGGGAGGGAGGGAGGGAGGGAGGGAGGGAGGGAGGGAGGAGGAGGAGGAGGAGGAGGAGGAGGAGGAGGAGGAGGTCCTCTCTCTTCTCCGGGGTGGCCCCAGAACTGGTCAGACGTTTCACAAGCCTTTGCCACCCTTGGCCCGCAGCAGCAGCCGGCTGGGATTTCGTCTCTTCGTCTCCCCTTGCCTCGCCCCAGGAGAGGTTTTTGCCAAGCTCAGTGAACACGTCACGGCGTAAGCTTCAGGTCCATGCGGGCGGCCGTGTGGGAGGCCATTTGGGACCATTTGGAACCAATATGGGGGCGTTTGGCAGGCCATTGGGGCCATTTGGGAGGGCGGGTGGGACGATCTGGGGCCTATCTGGGACCATTTGCGACGATGTGGGAGGCCATTGGGACCATTTAGGGCGCCATTTGGGACCCGTTGCGATGCCCATTGGGGCCGTTGGGGAGGCCCTTTGGGACCTCCCGTGGGAGGCCCTTCGGGACCTCCTTTGGGAGGCCCTTTGGGACCACGTGGGCGGGCTCGTGGAGAGCGGCAACAGCAGCCCCGCGCGAGGCCCGGGACGACTGCACCGTCGTGGACGTGCCCACGGACTGCATCGGCTACGTCACCGGCAACCGCCGCGCCGCCCTCGGCTCCATCGAGGAGCGCCCCCCCAGACCCCCTCGAGTCATGAAAAAATCACGGCGGAAGGTTTTCTCGCTATCTTCTGCTTCTGGGTATCCGCCCCCCCCTTTTGTCTGCACGAACGAGATGGGCACGGAAAGAATGGGCACAATGCCCGACAGCGGATCTGGTTCATTTTGAACAGGACTCGCTGTCCACGCCGCCGCGGCCTGTGTCCATGTGAGACAGAAAGCCGCCTGCCCAACAGTGGCCGCTGTTGGTTCGGGACAGCATTTGCTGCTGGGCATTGTGCCCATTGTTTCCGTGCCCATTTCGGGCGTCCAAAATTTGGGTCACCCCCATGACCAACCACCCGATGCACAGGAGGAGTGGGGCACCCTCATGTTCTTCATGAACGAGCCCGCCGCCCAGCAGTTGCCTGCGCGGCCCATGGGCCCCGGCCCGGCCCGCGCGCGGGGGAGAGAGGGGGGGGGGCAGGGGGCGTCCGCCCCTTCCCCCCCCCGCCCCTCATCCCTGGGGGCGCACAGCAGGGGGGACGAGGGGGCTGGGGGTGTGCGGACGTCATGGCTCCGGGGCCTTTCACGCCTCCCAGCCACGCGCAGAAGGGGGGTGGAGGGAGTTTGGGAGGGCGTCTCAGAGGCACCCCTGCTTCTTCGAAGGTGCGGGCCTCATCTATAGATGTAAGGCCGCCGCCTCCTAAGAAGCAGCCTCCTTCTAAGAACCCCTTCCCCCTCCCTCCACCCCCTTGCGTGCGCCGCCAAGCCTCTCTGGTTCCGCCAGGATCGGTGGAGCGTGCCTCCCATGCTATATATATTGTGTTCTCTCTCTCTCTCTCTCTCTCTCTCCAGGATGGCGCATGCACCGATCCTGGGCCCAGGACGGGTCGGTGCCTGGTTTTCATGTAGTGGTCTTCCTTTTGCATTGTTGCAGTGCTGCCACTGTGAAGCCTTGCTGCCATCGCCCCGCGGCCCCAGGGGCTCCGACCCCTTTACCCGTAGCAAGGTTTTCTGCCCCGATGCATGTCTGATGGCTCGGGGCCTGATGACGGGCTCCAGAGGCCGACATCGAAGAGCAACGCTCGGAATGAAAAGACAAGTCGTATGAGATCTTGGACTGGTGCAGCGCTGCCGTCGGCTGCTCGTTTTTCTTCCCATCGACCTGCTGTGACCAAAAGCGAGGTCGGACAACGTCAGCGCTGCATCGGCGCCGTCGGCGTGGAGACAATCGGGCGTCACATCGGGCCGCCTCGCCGATGCATTGGCGAGTCGGCCATCGGGCCTTCTGACCAGTGTTCTCAGCTCTCCCCCCGAAGACACAGCAAGGACTTCTCCTAGGGTTGGAGCGCTTCGGAGGAGGCCCGCCGCCTCTCCGATCGGGGGCAGCAGAGAGGGGGGGGGGGGTGACGGCTATGGGGGAGATCTCATGGCCAGGGCCGCGGTGTCTCCCCCTAACTCATGGCCCCTCTCCTGCTTCGCTCAACGCGTTCCCTGGCCCGCCCCCCCCTGGTCCGCCCGCGCATGCCTCGGGCCATGATTTTTGCACACGCACACACATAAACATAAACATAAACACACACGCACACGCACACGCACACGCACACGCACACGCACACGCACACGCAAGCGCACACGCAAGCGCACACGCACACGCACACGCACACGTACACGCACACGCACACGCACACACACACACGCACACGCACACGCACACGCACACACACACACACACACACGCACACGCACACGCACACGCACACGCACACGCACACGCACACGCACACGCACACGCACACGCACACGCACACACGCACACACACACACCACACACACACACGCACACACGCACACACGCACACACGCACACACGCACACACGCACACACGCACACATACACACACACACGCACACACACACACACACGCACACACACACGCACACACGCACACACACGCGCACACACAGACACACACACACACACACCTCTTGGACGCCCCCTGTTGGACGCCCCCGATCTCAGGAGGCCTTCTCCTTCTCCTGAGCATTTTTTCTTGGGGTGGAGGGCAAAGGGTGAGATCTGAAGTGCCGTGTCGATAGACGTTCGAGGCTTGAACCTGCAAAAGGTGAACGACAAGATGGATTGGTCTTCGAGGTGCAGAAGCCCATGTGGATTTTACCCCGAGCCCTCCGCCCTGAGAAAATGCCCAGGTCTCGCTTCCCGCCCAATGCAACAGTTGACGACCTCAAACCTGTTATGTCTGTGCCAGCTTGTGTTGCAGGCGCTCCGTGGTGAGCTCTCGCCTGCCTCGCCGGCTCGGCGGCCACCGAGACCGAGCCCGAACCAACGCCCCGAACCAAGGCCCAAGCCAGAGCCCGAACCAGAGCCCGAACCGAAGCCCTCGCTCGCCACCGAGCCAAAGCCCGGACCCCGCCCTCGCTCGCCACCGCGAGGAGGTTCTGGGATCCTCTTGCGAAGAAGAGCCGCGCACGACATCGACAAGTGCACGTGGAATGGACGTCCGAGCGATGGCAAGTCATACCCAGCGGTCGTTGAAAGTAAGTATTTCCCGCTTCCTGCCCTTGTCCGCCACCGAGCCGAAGCCCGGACCCCGAGACCTCGGCCAACGAGGGCCCCTTCCAGCCGCGGCACGCCGAGAGGCCGGCCGCGGCCGGCCCTCCGCGGCCCTCGCCGAGGCGAGGCACCGCCGGCGCATCGGGGACGCAGCGGCGATGCGGCGCGATCCTGCAAGCAGTGGCGGTTCGTCTTGGCCTGCCTATGGCCCTACCAAACCATGTTCTGAGAGCCTTTTGTGGTTCCCAGGACCTGTTCTTAGCACAGTTCTGGCTGGGACTGGCTTGTTTTATGACATCGGGTTCACGTTCTAAGAACATCGTTTGGGTTCTTAGAACATTTCTGGGTCCTAAGAACATTCCGTGGTTGGACTTCAGGGATGCCCGGACGGTCGGTCCCCGCTCAAATTTTCGGACCCCACCCAGGAGGCATGCAACCCAGACCCCTCGAGTCGGGGAGAGTCGCGGCGGGAGGTTTTTCGCTTTATTCGGCCTCTGGAGGCCCTGGCTGGGCCTCGGGACCGCGAAAATAGGCTCGGGACAAAAACCGTCCCGGGGACGCTGTAACAGTGACGTCGGAGGCCTGTAACCCAGACCCCCGACGTCACGATTTTTTCATGACGTCGACCCCCAGAGGTCTCGACCCCTTCCCCGGGACCTATTTTTTTCCGTCCCGAGCCGTTTTGTCGCGGCCCCGAGGCCCTGGAAGGGCCCCCAGAGGCCGAAAGCAGGGACGCACCCGCCGCCGCGATGCTCTGTCATGCCTCGAGGAGGAGGAGGAAGAGGAGGAGGAGGAGGAGCAGGAGGAGGAGGAGGAGGAGGAGGAGGAGGAGGGAGGAGGAGGAGGAGGAGGAGGAGGAGAGGAGGAGGAGGAGGAGCAGGAGGAGGAGGAGGAGGAGGAGGAGGAGGAGGAGGAGGAGGAGGAGCAGGGAGGGGTCTGGGACCTGGGAGGCCTTGGAACCTCACAGCCAGACCCCCCCCGAGGTCGGACGATAAGGGCCGCGGCCGCGGCGGCACCGAGAAGCTGGCCATCTTCGGCCCGCAGCGCGCGCGGCGCGGCTCGGAGCTGAAGGCGCGCGGCCGGCTCGCCGCGGCCGGCTCTCCGCGGTGCCGGCTCTCCGCGGCGCCGGGCGGCGGCCGCTCCCCGGAGCCTCGGGCGGGTGTCAGGCAGTGGCGGAGCGTCTTGGCTCGCCTGTAGGCCCACCAAAGGATGGTCTCTAAAACCTGTGGTGGCTTGCGCGGCATGTTGTGAGAACGTGTCTGGCTGAGTCTGTCTTGTTTAACACGCATCGGGTGTATGTTCTAAGAGCATGGCTCTTGTGCTTAGGACATTCTTGGGGTTCTTAGGAGGTTTCGTGATAGGCCTCTGTAGAGGAATGCGGGGACGGTCGGCCCCTGCTCAAGGGTGGCATTGGGGGGTCACCCACATGGGGGGTGAAAAAGAGGGCCCCAAAGGGGCCCTCGAGGGCCCCTTTTGGGCCCCTCTTCTTCACCCCCAAGGCACCTGAGGGCCCTGAGGGCCCCTTCAGGGCCCCTTTAGACCACCCCTTTAGGGCCCTTTAGGAAAGGGGCCCTCAAGGCTTGAGGGCCCCTTTTGGGCCCCTGCTGCCTCCAAAAGCGGCCCGCGGAAGGGGGCCATAGGGCCCTCCTCTGCGGCAGCTCCCGCGACCACCCGCCCGAGAGAGCCGGGCGCTGCCGCCGCCTGCTGCCGCGGAGGCGGCGTGCTCGCCCGGGGTCTCGGGCCCCCGGGGCCCCTCGCAGATCGATCGCTTCGAGGATGGGTAAACAGGGGCGCCCTCGAGGGCGAGAAGTTCTTCGCGCTTCGCGCTCCGCGGTTCGGCTCCGATTCCTCCTCCTCCTCCTCCTCTTCTCCCCTGGGAGGCGGCGCGAGAGCGCGAAGTTATTCGAGCTTCGCGCTTCGCGCAGCGCGAGACGCGAAGTTGGGAGCCCTTGGTAAAGATCGGAATGGATACCAGGGAGGCTGGTGCACGGTCGGTGTCGCCGAGGAACGCGTCGGGATGTCTGGGTGGACGTCGTGGCACAAACGTGCCGTCGGGGATCGGGGAAGCTGGCAGCGGCGTGCCAGTCGCGCCCCCCCGGTGCGAGGGGTAGTTGGTATCCCTTGGGGCCCGCTGGGGGGCCCAGGTGGCCCAGAGCGGGCCTGGGCCAGAGAGGGGGCAGAGAGGGGGCCCCCTCGCGGCCGCGGCGCTGCCCGCGACTCGGGAAGCTGGTCAGATTCGTCCCCAGGGGGGGTCCCGTGACGGCGTGCGGAGCTGGTCTGCCCTCCTCTCGTGGACCAAACACAATGACAGTCAAAACATAAAAACAAAAACTCGGAGGTCCGCGCCAATTTCGTGGATCGGCGCTGGACCCCTCCTTGGCGCGCGGAGCACGCCAGGGGCGGCGCCAGAGGCGGCGCCAAGGGCGCCGCCAGGACTTCAGCGCCGCTCCGAAAACCCCGCGCGGACCTCAGAGTTAGCATGGTAACTTCAGTGCTTCTTCTGTTGTCATCCCCGCCCTGCATGGCCGACCTTATGTGCTCATCCAGCTCGAGACCCCCCTCGCCTGCGCCTCTCAGTGATACCACGGCGGGTTTATGCTCAGGGGCAGCATAGGCGCGGGCGTTAGGGACTCAGGGGCAGCTTAGGAGGCAGCGTCAGGGGGGATTCGCTAGTGCTCTGGGGCAGCTCAGGGGCTCAGGGGCAGCTGGGGTGGGGCTGTGCTCAGGCGTCATCCCAGCTGGATGCTCAGGGGCAGCGTGGGGGGGGCGCTCAGCGGGGGACGCGTCGACCCTTGATGGTCGACCGGGGCCCGTTCGCCCGCCACGCGCCATGCCCAGACACGTGTGCACTCGCTGCCGGTCGCTGGTGCCAGGTCGCTCTTCCCCCCCCACCCCGCGCCGCCGGCCCACCTGTCGCTGCCCCATTCAGCACTGGGAGCGAGTCCAGCTGAATGCACTTGCTTGCGTCGCAGCGCGGCAGAGGCGATCCGCACGCGCGTCGGGGCGCGACGGGGACACGGCATCGCGAAGCAGCCCGCACGCAAGAGGAGGGGGGGGATGGAAGGCGGCCGCAGAGAAGGGACCATGACGCGGGGGCACACTCACGCAGCGAGGTTTCGGCGGGTGCGTGGGCGCGGCTGGGCTGAAGGGTAGCCCAAGGCTGAACGCACACGCACTCATTTTTTCCATGGGACCTTTCAATGCGATTTTCCTCCATCCCCACCTCTGCCCCTGCCTAGCCTTAAGTCGGGCACGTCCCTCCACAAGAGGAGTATTCCCAAATCGGCAAAAAATAGTATGGGGGCGATGTGTGGAGATGTTTTGATCATTGTTGATTACTTGTTTTGCGTACGGTTTCTAAGTGTTCGTCGAACATCCGCCTGTAGGGGGACATGCCCACCCTAAACTTACTTCTTCCATGGGGCCGTTCCGTGCGATGCTCCTCCAGCCCCACCTTTGCCCCTGGCTGGCCCGCGCGGTCCCCCCACTGGGCGGGGGCTCGGGGGGTGCGAAGCCTGCTGCGCCCCGGCGGCGGGCAGCTATGCCCTGCCGCCTGCGGCCCTTTTTGTTGCTCCTCGAGGCGGCGGCTGGCCGCGTGGTACAGCTGCTTCGCGGACCCCCCCTATTTGGGGGGCCACAGGCGAAGCCTACCCCTACCCCCCACGATGTCTGAGGGGGGTCGGTGGGGTTCACTTCGTGTGGGAGCTCCCGAGCGGAGTGAACCCCAACCCTGCCCCTTAGAAGTCGTTGGGGGTAGGGGTAGGGTTCGCATGTGGCCCCCTACCATTGCTACCTCCCCCCTTGCCCCCTCGTGACACAGATGGTCAGAGCCCAGCCCCCAGTCAGCAGGGGTTACTCGGATCAGGGCCACATCGGGTTCGTCTTTCGGGAGTCCGACACCGAGCTGCCCCGGGCCCGAGTCGCCCCGGATGCCTCGGGCGTCCAGGGCCCCAGATCGTCAGGGGCAACTCGGCTCAGGGCTAACTCGGGTTCGTTGTCGGGAATCCGAGCCCGAGTTACCCTGGGCCCGGGATGCCCCGGATAACTCGGGCGCCCAAAATGTTCGTGGATCGTCGCCACAACGAGATAAGACGTCGCACCCAGCAGATGCGGCTAAGAGTGAGGGGGCGGTGGGGACGTCGGCAGACTGCGAGACTCTGGAGAAGCCCGCCGCAGGCGCCAAAGTCGGACACATTACACAACGAGCCCGCCGCAGGACCCGATCTTCTTCAAACCAGTGTGGATCGGTCGCGGGTGGGCCGCGGGTGGTTCGCGGGGGGGCCGCGGGGTGGGTCGCGGGGTGGGTCGCAAGTGGGTCGCGGGGTGGGTCGCGGGTTGGTCGCGGGTGGATCGCGGGGTGGGTCGCGGGTGGGTCGCAAGTGGGTCGCGGGGTGGGTCGCGGGGTGGATCGCGGGTGGGTCGCGCGGCGGAGCGCGGGCGGGTCGCGGGTGGGTCGCGGGTGGGTCGCGGGTGGGTCGCGGGCTGGGCCGCGGGGTGGGTCGCGGGGTGCGTTGCGGGTGGGTCGCAGGGGGGACGACGACGACAACAGCCAACAACAACAGCAACAAGAACAACATCAACAACAACGCAACAAGCATAATCCTCACCACGGATTCTCACTTCGGCCACGCACCCAGGGACAACGAATGACCGTTCGGCCCCCCTCAAAGGCAGTTCCACGGACGCAAAGAATACGTACAGCAGTCGTCTTCGCATACGTGGCCTCAAGGGTTATTGCAAGATGGGGGCCGCAGTGTTCACGGAGATCCCAAGGAGAACCTCAGCGTCGTTAGTCGCACGGCGTTCCACGAAGCATGGTACTATTTATCAGGAGGTGGGGACGCGTTTGAAGCAGAATACGCACAGACAAGTTGTGAACGTTTTTTCATTCACTGTTTTGCCGATCGGCACGGGCCCTCGCACCCCCCCCTGCCCCCCCCCCGGTGGAGTGGATCTTGGCTGCCTTTTAGCGCCCGTTTCGAGCACGTGGAGCCCCTGCCCCACAGCACACACTGTCGCAAGCAGTCGCGCTGAGCAGAGGTCCGCCGGAGCCAGAACCCCCCCGCCCCCTTTCGCCCAATGTCGGAACGCCGAATCAGAAGACGCTCACATCCTCGGACCCCATCTATCGGGGGTGGACAGACCTCCCAACAGTGACACGTCGATTGGTGAATCGTCCGTTTTCGGTTCTCGAGAGGGCGCCGCGGCCGTTAGTTTCCAGGCTTGCGCCCGCCAGGTTGGGGCCCGAGGTCGTTTCCACTAAACCACGTTTTGCTAAAGGGAGGTCTGTCCATCCCCGAATCTAGCAGGCCTGTGACCCAGACCCCCCCCCTCCCCCCCCCTTTCGCCCAATGTCGAAACGCCGAAGAAGGAAACGCTCGGGGCTGCGGCCCACGCGCCCGGCCCCCCGCGGGTCGGCCTCCTTGGCCGGGCACGGCGCGCCTTGCCTCGCCTCGCCTCGCGGTTCCCTTCTCCCGTTGCCCTCCGCTCCCGCGGGTAGGTCGCATCCCTCGGCCGTCCTCCTCCTGCTCCTCCCCCTCGTCGTCGTCGTCGTCCTCCTCCTCCTCCTCCTCCTCCTCCTTCTCCTTCTCCTCCTCCTCCTCCTTCATCTCATCCTTCATCTCCTCCTCCTCCTCCTTCGAGTCCCCTGGCGGCTCGAGGGCTCGAGGCTGGAATCTCGAGGATCCTCGAAGGGAAGAAGCCAGCATCACCAGAAGCTCCTTCTATGCCCACGCGGATCTCTTAGATCCGGTGAGTTTGTTCCGTATTATTCGTTTCTTCGACGGCAGAAACTAACAGATCGTGCCAGAGGTGTAGGAGTGATCGGCCCACTACTGCAGGAGAGGAGGGTAGTCAGATGACGCAGCCAGCAGGGCAGAGGCGACTTGAAACCATGCATGCAGACATTCGATCCCCTGCCCATCATTCTTGGAGATTCAAATCTTTCCGTTTTGCGTCAGCACTGAAGTCGTGGTCTGAGATATTGCACATGTATTCCCCTTTGGCCGTGCCTTCAAACAATGCGACCACCCCGCGGGTAAATGTCACGAGAGATTGTGAGCGCCTGCCTCATTTTTCGACGGACGCCATGTGATTTGCTCAATGATCTCGCGACTCCGGCCCGAAGGGGTCGGTGTATAGTCGGCGGACCAGGACCATCGCGGTGAGGGAGCAAAGAGCAAAGCTCCCTTTCAGGTCATGAGCAGCATCGAGACCAAGAGCCCCGGCTTCTTCACTCGCGGCATCAAGGAGCGGACCAGATGTTGCCCTTGGGTTCCCTCGGCGCGTGGTGCCGCGCGCACCCCCCAGACGTCTCTGGATGGCTTATGGAGGTCCCGGGAGGTCCCTGGAGGCCTTCGGAGGCCGCCCAGAGGGCCCGAGAAGGGCCCGCAACGTCCGAAACCCTCGCAAGAGCCCAGATTTCTTCACTCGAGGCATCAAGGAGCGGACCCGATGCTGCCCCGCTGCCGCCGCACCCGAGGGTGCGCCTGGGAGGCCAGGCGCTTATATGCCGCCGCGCTGCCCTCTCGCAAAGCGGCCTCTCGCAGCACCGGGGCCGTGCTGTGTCGAAGAGCAGCAAAAGCCACGAACAATTGGGGCGTTCAAAGAAGGGCTTTGTCTTCGAGGATCAAAGGAGTTGCCATTTTCCTCGGCGGCAGGGCTGCGGAAGTAAAAGATGTGCCCCTAGGAGATGAAACATGTTTTTGAAATCAAAGTTTCCGAAATCGCCCAAGCGAGCGCAATGCCCATCCCCCCATCCCTTCTAGGCGTAAGTCGGGAATGCCCCTCTACAGGAGGAGCATTAAAGAACAGTGGAGAAATAAGCTTGTTCCGATTTTTCCTGCTTTTGATTATTTCCCAACCATCCCTCGGTGTTGGGTCTCCATTTTGAAAACACAGTGCCCCGCGTTTCTCCTTCCTTTCTCCTCCCCCTCCCCGCTCCCCCCATCACCATCATCATCGCAATCACATCATCAGCATCATCATCATCATCATCATCATCATCACCACCACCACCACCATCATCATCATCATCATCATCATCATCATCATTACATCACCATCACCATCACCATCATCATCGTCGTCCTGCTCATCGTCACCATATCATTGCCGTCATTATCACCATCACCCCTCACACACTTCGTAGCCCCACAGAAAGCTCCACCGAAGGCCCCAGTGGCTGCGTGCCCACCGCATGCCCACTCCGGCGCACCCCTCACATGGTTCGTAGCCCAACAAAAAGCTCCACCGAAGGCCCCGGTGGCCTCTTCCGCATGCGACCTCCCCGCCCACCGCATGCCCATTTCGGCACACCCCTCACACGGTTCGTGGCCCCATAGGGAGCTCCACCGAAGGCCCCAGTGGCCGCGTCCGCATGCGTCCTCCCGGCCCACCGCATGCCTAGTTCGGCTCACCCCTAACACGGTTCGTGGCCCCATAGGGAGCTCCACCGAAGGCCCCAGTGGCCGCGTCCGCATGAGTCCTCCCCGCCCACCGCATGCCCATCTCGGCACACCCCTCACACTTTCCGTGGCCCCATAAGGAGCTCCACCCAAGGCCCCAGTGGCCGCGTCCGCATGCGCCCTCGCCGCCCACCGCATGTCCATTCTGCGCACCCCTCACACGGTTCGTGGTCCCATAGGGAGCTCCACCGAAGGCCCCAGTGCCACGGTCCACATGCGTCCGCCGCACTCATTTCGGCACGCCCCGCACAGGGTTCGTGGCCCCATAGGGAGCGTTACCGAAGAAGATATTCACAATTGCGGTACTCACAACTGCATGTGTTTGTGTCCATCGCCAGGCTAATTGGGATAATGTCCTGACTTGTGTTTGTTAGTTTTCTTCCAAACTCCGCCTTCTGGAGGACATGTCCGACCTAGCTCTCTGCCTCCCAGATGGGGTCCGAGCAGATGGGGTCGGAGGACCTCGCAGCATCGCCGATGCAACGCCGATGCGGCTCGAATGGGAGACCGCTGTTCTCCAAGCCAGCGTCGCCGAAGCTCCTCCGACGTCGCCGATGCGGTGCGATCCTCCGGCCCCATGCGGTGCGATCCTCTGGCCCCATCTGTTCGGACCCCACCTGCGATGCCTCTCACAAAGTGCCCCGCCTGCCCCCCCCGCTCCCCACTGCATGCTCTACCCTAGCTGTTGGGGGCCAGTCCGAGTGAGCCGGGCTAGGGCCGGCCTGGCAGTGCCCTCCGCCTGTACCTCACGCGCACGCGGAATTTTGGCAAGTGCAGCTACGGGATCGTGGTATCTCGTCCCAGGTGTTCCCTTGCCCCCCTTCATCCTCTCATCCTCTTTGCCACCCTGCTCACAGGCCTCGTGAGGTGACGGCGCACGCTGCGGGGTGCCCCGCGCATTGCAGAGTGGACACGTCAACGCGCAGCCCATTCGCTGCCCCTCCGTCCCTGGTGCGCTCCGCGCGCCAGGGAGGGGCTGCCAGCGCAGATCCAAGAGATCCGCTCGATGTTCCGACAGTTTATTCAAGCAGTGGCGAAGCGTCCTGGCTCGCCTGTAGCCCTACCAACCAATGTTCTAAGAACCTTTTTGTGGCTCACGCGAAATGTTCTTAGAACATTTCTGGTGTGGACTGTTTTTTTAACACGTCGGGTTTCTGTGATAAGAACATTGTTTTATTCTTAGAACATTTTGGGGGTCGAAGAACATTGCGTGGTAGGACTATAGGATTGCCGGGACGGTCGGTCCCTGCTCAATTTGTGTATCCTTGCCTTCTCACCCGTCGTCTTCGCGCGTGCACGCGTGCGCCTCCCGCACTGACCAGGAGAAGACGTCGGACAAGCCGGGCTTCGACACCGACCGCTTCATCTTCCGAGACGAGGAGCCATCGATTAGACGTAAGAGTGACCTTTCGCCGGAGTGACCTTTGGTGCGGGCACTCATGGGCCCTCAGATGGCTGAAAACGAAGCGGTAGCAGGGACTTGCGTGCCCAGGTTTGGTCTCCCCGCGGCCCCCCAAAAGCCGCGCACCAAAGGTCACTCTTACCCAGGGTCACTCTCGCGTGTAGCCGAAACCAGGGCAGGGCACCATGACTCCGATTGCCACCACCACCACCACACGCTGTCTCTCACGCAGCCGCCTCAACTGTCGCCCTCACTTCTGTCACTACTGGCATCGTCGTCGCAACCACCATCACCTGCCCATCCCTCTCGGCGGCACGGCTGGGGGAGCCACGGGGAGAGCGGACTGTGGTGCGTGTGGTGGCGCTGTTGCGCGCGCTCGCCACCGCGCTGGAGGGGGCGGAGGAGGAGGAGGAGGAGGAGGAGGAGGAGGAGGAGGAGGAGAGGAGGGGGAGGGGAGGAGGAGGAGGGAGGAGGAGGAGGAGGAGGAATGGAAGAGGAGGAGGAGGAGGAGGAGGAGGAGGAGGAGAGGAGGAGGAGGAGGAGGAGGAGGAGGAGGAGGAGGAGGGAGGAGGGGGAGGAGAAGGAAGAGGAGGATGGGGCGGGGGCGAAGGGCAATAGAAGGCCTGATTTTGGGCGCTGGCCGACATTCCCCGGTGGGCGGAAATCGCACAGGGGAAGCATCGGTCGGCGTTTGTGTTGGGGGAACCTGCCGATTTGGGCAAGACCTGGGGCTCCGCACGGGGCCCGAGCTCGCCCCTCCGAACAGCGCCAGCGGTGAGAGAGTGTCCGCGCGCGCGCGCTCACTTCGTCTCCGTGGCCACGTCTGCTCAAGATCTCCAGCCAACGGGGGACAGGGGCCAGCACAGAGGAGAAACGCATTGTCGCGTTGTTCTTGCGATTGAGCTTCTGGCAAGTTCACTTGCGTGGCAACCCCCCCTCCTCCTCCTCCTCCTCCTTCTCCTCCTCCGCCTCCTCCTCCTCCTCCTCCTCCGCCCTCCTCCTTCTCCTCCTTCTCCTCCTTCTCCTCCTCCTCCGCCATCCTCCGCCCTCCTCCTCCCCTTCCGCCACCTGTTCAGACGGCGCCGGGCCGAAAGGGCGGGCAGGTGCGCCCCGACCTGCGCGAAGTTCGGCTTCCCTGTCGGCCTCGCCACGCCCTCCCTCCCCCCCATCCCCCTCCGCGCAAGCAAGCTTGCCGCAGGCTGTCGAAAAAGGTGGCCCACTGACAGCCCTTTCGATCGCGCGCCGCGCTCTTCAGCCTTCGGGGGGCAAGGGTGCCGCATGGCGGTCCTGTGCGAGGCAGGCCCCGAGGGGGCGAAGGCGCCGGGCCTCGCTGCCGTGCCGCGCGCCGAGGCGGCGGAGCCGGGCAAAGCCCCAGCTGCGGACGCGGCCGCGCCCTCGGGCGGGTACTGCGCGGCCGCTCTGGCGTGCCTGGTGTGGCCGCTCATCTGCGCGCTGCCGCTGGCGCTGACGCTGGGAACCGAGCACAGCAGCTACAGGCCGAGGGCCAAGAGACTGCACATGCCCATAGGGAGGTCCGGGGGAGGAGGGCTGGCTCTGGGTATGGGCGCGGGTTGTCGGACCCCTGGGGAGGCTCCCGTCCGAGCGGGGCCCCCAGCCGACAACGCGCACCCGCAGGCCCGTCCGTCCTCCCTGTGAGTATGGGTGTGCGTTGTTCGTTCGTGATAGGTGTTCGGAGCTCCGCTCGGATTTATCGGATCGGCGCTGGGCCCGTTGGCGCGCTCCGCACCCCAGAGGGGGGTGTCCAGCACCGCTCCAAGAGATCCGCGTGGAACTTCGAGGACATGTTCCGATGCCAGCTCTTGCTCCTCCGACAGGGCCCTCTTTCCGACCGCCTGGTTCGATGAGGCGCCGGTGAAGCCGGTGCTGACGGGCTACGGCGTGGCAGACCCGCGTTCTATCAAGCCGCTGGGCCTCACCCTCGGCATCGCGGCGGTCGCCGTGGGCCAGGTTTTCACGGTCGCGTACCACGCCCTGCGGTGTGCGGGGTTCCTCGGCCCGGCTCGGCGGATACAGACTCAGGTGCGGGAGTACAGCTTCATCGAGGGCATGTCCACGCACTTCGCGCAGCCCGAGGGGTTTGCGCTGATAGGCGGCTACCTGGTGGGGTCCTGGATGCTCGGCTGGATGCCGCAGTCGTACTATTCATTTGCTGGTGGCATCTGCTGGTGGCACGTCGCCGCGCAGCTGCTGTTGCAGGATTTCCTGCAGGCGGTCATGCACATGGGAGAGCACAAGGTGTCGAGCTGGGTGTACCGCAACTCGCATAAGCCACACCACCGATTCGTCAATCCCCGCATATTTGATGCATTTGACGGGTCGTTGACCGACACGTTGTTGATGATAATCGTGCCATTTGTTGTGACAGCACGGCTCGTGCCAGCAAACGTCTGGTCGTACATGACCTTCGGCTCGCTATACGCGAACTGGCTCGTGCTCATCCATTCCGAGTTCCACCACCCGTGGGACTGTGTCTTCAAGCGAATCGGCTTCGGTACTGCTGGAGACCACCACGTTCACCACAAATTGTTCGTGTACAACTTCGGCCACATTTTCGCATACTGGGACAAAGTCTTCGGCACTTACAAAGACCCGGCGGAGTTGGAGGGAAAGTACTTCAACAAGCACGAGTGATGGAATGAGCGCCTTGTGCTGTCAGTGGTAGCTGCCGACTCTGCTCGCTGAGATGCCTCGGCAGGCGCTGCTATCCTGCTGCCTCGAGTACCACCCCCTCTGTCTCATCCTCTTTCGGAGGGCAGCAGCCATACACCTACATCGGCTCTGGGCGGGCCGATCCTGGGCCAAGGATCGGTGTACATGCCTCCTGCGCAGGCCAGGAGAGCGGGCGTATAGGTCCATCTTGGGCCCAGGAACCGCCCGACCAGGATCGGTGCAGGGTTGTACTTGGCGCCGGCCTGCTCTTGTTCCTCCTGCCACCCCTGGCTTGAATTCGAGTTGGCAACCCACTGCGAGCCTCGAGGTACGCGCCAGTAGCGCAGGGCTCGAGAGCGGTCCATGCACTGTTGCGCTCGGCACCGCCCACAAGCAAGCGGCCAAGCAAAATAAAGCACACGATTCTTCAACTTCGGTCTGATGCGCGGAAAGCTAAACAAGTCGCAAGGGTATGGAGCAACAACGGACACATGTTGGGATCGATCAGCTCCTCGACGAACCTGTGAGCTCGGACCGCAGTCCGAGCGCTGGAGCAAGGGCTCAATTTTGGGTTCGGCAAGGGCTTGGGGCCATCTTGAGCCCCTCCCAGGATGCCACCATGGTTTTGCCGCAGGAGGGCGGCGCGCAGGAGCAGCCGAAGGGGCATAACGTTCTCGGGCCAGTCCTCTGGGCCACTCGTCCCCGCCACCCCTGGCGGTGCATCTGGCGACACCACGCGCCTTCTCCGCAAAGCCAGGGAGGCCCGAGGATGAGGAGGAGGTGGGAGGAGAAGCAGGAGGAGGAGAAGGAGAAGGACGAGGCGGAGGAGGAGGAGGAGGAGGAGGAGGAGGAGGGAGGGAGGTTGAGGAGGAGGAGGGAGGAGGAGGAGGAGGAGGAGGAGGAGGAGGAGGAGGAGGAGGAGGAGGAGGGAGGAGGAGGAAGAGGAGGAGGAGGAGGCGGCTCCACGCGTCGACCCTTGTATTCAGCCCGAGCGGTCCCTCCCAACAAAACCTCTGCCTTTTGCGGGTTTCGTCCCTGCGTCCTTTGTAAGGGCGAAGTTTCCGCGGTGAGCTGTCAGCGGCCCCCCGCCGCAGGGACGGCTCGCGTGTCGCGCATCGCTGCGTGAACCGAGACCTCCCCCGCCACGTGCGGTCCGGAGTTCCCGTTCGAGACGTCTTCGCAAACAGCGAGAAACATCAAATTTGTGTTTTTGACGGGAGGCCCCGTTCGAGATGTCCGTCGAGTCAGGAGACGCAGGGCCGTGGCCTTCGGACTTGCTGGTTGCCGCGTGTCGCACATCGCCTGTCGCTGGACGTGGGGCGCGAACCGAGTGACCAAGAATAGGCTACACGTCCGAGTGATACTCCGCCTGAGCTCCCGAGGGCAAAAGCGCATCAATGACACGCCGCCGTTTAGAGCCCGTGAGCGCGTTGATCCGGCGTTGCTATCCGAAAGCTTGGCGCTTCTCGCAGGCGGCTTTCCGCTTTCCTCCCCCCATCCCCGAGTTCCGCCCCAACAGTTTGGCCGCTCAGAAAAAGGGGGGAGCCTTGGGATGCACCCCGAGGTGGCGATCTGGACGCACGACCATCGAGCATGGACGCCCCCCCCCCATCGTGCAGCACACCTTAGGCGATGCTTAAGAAAACTTAAGTTTTCGGCCAGAGTCTCGATTCTTCTTAATGTTTCAATGTAAATCCTAAGATTTGAATAGACATGTTGGGTTTTTATTCAAGTTCTGAGACTATGAATTTCTTAACCCATGATTTCTAAAGCATTTCGCAGGGTGTATCCCAGGGTTGAGCCCAGCATCGCTGGTCCAGTCCAAGCCCCCACGAGGCCCGGGGGAGGCGTCGGCATATCCCCCGTGAGCTCCTTCAGCAGCAGCGCGATGACGGGCCTTTCCCCACGGCGGCGTGCAAGGTGCTGTTGCTCCTCGGCGCGAGAGCACAACAACAACGTACCAATCCGTTCTAATCTCCTCCGCCTCCGCCTCCGCCTCTCCCCCTCCTCCTCTTCTTCCTCCTCCTCCTCCTCCTGCTCCTCCTCCTCCTCCTCCCCCTCCTCCTCCTCCTCCTCCTCCCTCCTCCTCCTCCTCCTCCCCCTCCTCCTCCTCCTCCTCCTCCTCCTCCTCCTCCTCCTCCTCCTCCTCCTCCTCCTCCGCCACAAGGCCCAGGGTTCCAAAGGAGGAGCCCAAGGAACATCGAGCACCTTCCGAATCCAAACTGTTCCTTACAGTCGGGGCCCTGAAGAAGGAACCCTTTTCGTTGGGGAGGGGCTCCGTGCTCCTCAATTGTTTCGCAGCTTGCCTTGTAAGTTTCCGATACGAAATCGAAGTTCAACTTGTGGAAAACAGGGGCCTCGTTCCTTATTTAGGGTTCCTTAGGTCAACGCCTCGACTATATGTCAGCGTCTTCACTGTGCCCAGGGATCTCTGGGAGCCGACGGGTCCGGCAGGTGCAGCGGGCGCCGCGGGCGCTGCCAGGGCGCTCCCGAAGGTCCCAGCAGCGCTCCAGCCAGGGGCGCCCCTTCCGCCCAGGACTATGATGTTCCGGCCTACTCCAGCCTTGAACTCCATCATGAATTTCCTCAGGCCGCCTACAGTCGGGGCGCTGGAGAAGGAACCCTTTTCGTTGGGGAGGGGCTCGGCGTTCCTTGATGGTTCTGCAGTTTGCCGTCAGTTGTCGTGAGGTTTTCACCATGGGGAATCGAAATTCCACGTATGGGAGAAAAGGGGATCCCGTTCCTAATTTAGGGTTCCTTAGGTCAAGGCCCCGACTGTACCACGGCCAGGTGGCCGGTGGGAATTCTCCCGGGCTCCGCGGAGTCGGGCCCCTTCCCTGGGGGCAGGTGTTCCTGCCGAGCACCTCTCCGGAGGGCCGCGGGGCAGGGGGACGGCCTCCGGGGCCCGGGCCTCGGAAGAGCACGGCCGTCGCGAGGCATCCGCCGAGGGAAGCGAGATGCGGTCGGGCCCTTAGTGGACCCTGGAAACGACAGGGCAGTTTTTTTTACCGGTTCCGTCTTGCCGTTTGTTAGCCGGTTCCGACGCCGTTTTTGTTACCGGTTCCGTCGCCGTTTTTGGTTCCGGTTCCAATCCTGGAGCCGTTTCTCTGCCGTTTCCGGTTGCCGTTTTTTTGCCGCTTCCATTTTCAAGGGACATTTTTGGGGAAACAGTGGAACAACGGCCCTGCCGTTTCCGGGGCCCACAAAGGTCGGGCCGAGGTTTATGATGTTCCAGTCTATTTTAGCCTAGATCACCATGATGAATCTCGAGCGCCAAGAAAACACCCCCCAAAATCGAGGGGGTTCACGTGTCGGGCCTTGGGAGACACTCTTTCGACACGCTTTCGGCACTCTTTCGACACTCTTTCGGCACTTTTCTGGGTGCTCAAAATTATTTCTGGGATGCGGTCCTTGAGTACGATGGGAGCAACATAAGCCCAGGGCCCCTTCTTGCACGCTGGCCGACGGACGAGGCCTCGGCTCGCAGGGAAGGAGGTCGAAGAGTAGACAATCAATGGCATGAGCATAAACTGTTGGCGCTCCGCGCGGGTTTCTCAGATCCGCGCTCGGCCCACCCCCCCAGCGCCGCCTCCGGCGTCGCCGCAAGAGAGAGATGAGGTGCGGGAAATCCGTGCGGACCGTCGAGAGTTCATGCTTGTGCCGATATTGTTGTTCCTCCGTTCTTGCCCGTGGCCGGCGGACGAGGCTTCGGCCTGGAGGAATGAGAGGCGACTCCACCACCACCACCACCACCACCACCACCACCACCACCACCACCACCACCACCACCACCAGGGGGGACACCTCCAGCGATGGGGGCCCGCGGCGCCTTCCCTGAGCTGGGGATCGGGGGCGTCTTCGAGCGCGAGGGGATCGGGGATGTCCCGAGCTGGGGACCTGGAGGGCCCTCCCTGGCACCTCGCGGTGATGGTGGCGGTGCCGCCCTTCCCGTGTTGCTGCATCGAGGCCGCCCTGCACTGGCATGCTTGCCTCCTCGGGGGCCGCACTCGGCCGACTCCTTGTCGGCGCGACGCAGCCGCAGCTGCCTCAGCGCGGACGTCGCAGGGCCTTGCGCCCAACCCCCCTGGGACTCGCCCCGGCCGAGCCGGGTTCCCCGTGGCCGATGTCGGCGTGGCCACGGTCGGCCTGGTCGAGCTCTGCCCGGCCGAGGTCCGCTGGCCGATGTCAGCCGCGGCCGAGCGGGTCCCGGCCGAGCTCGGTGGCTGCCCCGAGTTGGGGGGCCAGGCGCCCTCGCGTCGAGCCGACGGCTCCGCCGCCGCGCTGCGGGCGTTCCCAGGAGGTGAGCTACGCGCTGGGCAAGGACGGCGCGACCAGGAAGAAGCTGGAGCAGGCGCGCCCTGCGGCCCCGCCCTGGGCGCCGTCTTTCAGATCCATGCCAAAACGCACAAGCATACATAGATTGGCATGTATTGCTTATCACATATATAGATATATAGAGACACCACGCATACCATGGGATCGATATGCGGTTACACAGGACCGGCGATATCTAGTACCATGCCATAGTGTGTACATATATATATATATATATACATATAAAGCACATGCGTGCATCGACCTCTTATTACATAGATCGAAGGATGATTGGAACGCTGCGCGTCTTTGTCAACAGAGCTGTTCCCGATGATTGCCCCGATGGTTGTGCCGATGGGTATCCCGATGGTTGGCCCGATGCCAGGTTGATTGTTTGATATTGGGGCTAGCAAAACAGATAGTGAGATCTTCAGGTCTAGAATGAGATCGCCAGATGTGCGTTGTTATCAGTATTGCGGCATCTAGGCCGAGCGAAAATTTGATCCTGCTATACATATATGTACGTATCTATATCTAAATTCATGTATATATGTATATATATAGATGTACGTCAGGTACATTGATATTTACGCATACGCATGCTCACATTGCCTAACCAGTACTTGCAGGGGAAATTATTTATTGCTGTATGGGAGCTGGACCTGCGCGTCGGTCTGGCGTCAATATAGCCGCCGCCGCTGCCTCGCAGTCGCCAGTCATCTGGGCCTGCGCATCGATCTGGCGGCTTTGCAGGCGCCGTCGCCGCCCCGCCGCCGCCTCGTCGCCGCCCGTTGGCTGGGCCCGCGCGTCGGTCTGGCGGCTATGTGGCCGCCGTCGCCGCCCCGTGGCCGTTTCGTCCCCGCTCGTGCTTCTGGGCCAGCTCGGGGTTCCGGTGGCTATGGAACCGCCGTCGCCGCCCCGTGGCCCCCTCGTCGATTGGACCAGACAGATAGCATCCCACAGATTCTCCTGTCGAAAAACAGAATCGGATCTACCCCCCCTCCCGGCGTTATCGCTACCCCTTTCGGGTATGTAAATCATGTATGATTCTGACCACATGTCCATCCTAAATATGAAATCGCATTGACCCAGGCCAACCGGTATCCCCCCCTTGAGGGCCCCTTGAAAAAAACACTATGCGGGAACATTTCTTGTTCTAACATAGCACTTGTTCACGAATCCCTTGCAAAAAAAGAGACGAAGTGCACACGCGCGCGCCGGAATCCTTCAAAAACCTTCGGTGCCGGAAAGATTTCGCAATCGAGTTTCCAAAAAATAACAAACAATCATTGGGTTTCGCAACGCTGATGTGCTAAAAAACGTCCGCGCGAGCTCTTGCGAAATTTATGAAAACCATAGGTTTTTCAACATTTTCACAAAATGCTATTCAACGGGCTTTGCGCGCGCGTGTCGAAATCTGTCGAACGCCCTTGCGCGTGTGCCGTCGCGAGAATCCTCTTCAAAAAATCAAAAAATGGGACGAAGTGCAGACGCGCGCGTCGTCGCGCGCGTATGCCGGAAACCTTCAAAACCCATCGGTTTCGGAAGGATTTCAAAATGGTGAGTCCAAAAATCTACGAAAACAGAAGGTTTCGCAACACGGATTTTCAACAAAAGCGTGCGCGCGCGCTTTTGCGTCGTCGTCGTCGTCGTCGTCGTCGCCGTCCTCCTTCCTCCCGCGTCGTCGTCGTCGTCGTCGCCTACGTCGTCCTCTGTCTTTCCTCGTGTTCGTCGTCGTCGTCCTCTTTGGCGTCGTGGTCGTTTCCGTCGTCGTTGTTGCCGTGGTCGTCCTTCTTCCTCCCTTGTCGTCGTCGTCGTCCGTCGTCGGCGTCTCGTTGTCGTCCCTCCTATTTCGTCGCCGTCGTCGTCGTCGCCGTTGTCGTCGTCGTCTTTCCTCCTCCCTCGTCGTTATCGTCGTCGGCGCCGCCGTCCTTTCTCCTTCTTCGTCGTTCGCGTCGTCGCCGTCCTCCCTCCTCCCTCGTCGTTGTCGTCGTTGTCATCGTTGTCGCCGTCGTCATCCTTCCTCCTCCTTCGTCGTCGTCTTGGTTGGCGACGTCGTCGTCGTCTTCGTCGGCGTCGGCGTCGGCGTCGTTGTCGTCGTCGAAGTGTCGGAGACGTCGTCGGTGTCGTCGTAGTCGCCGTCGTCGTCGTCGTCGTCGGCGTCGTTGACGCCGTCGTCGTCGTCGATGTCGTCGTTGTCGTCGTCGAAGTCGTTGGAGACGTCGTCGGTGTCGTCGTAGTCGGTGTCGGCGGCGCCGTCGTCGTCGTTGTCGCTGTCGTCGTCGGCGTCGGTGTCGTGGCTAAGTGTAATGTGGTACGTACCGTCACGGTCTTGTCTTAAGAGGTCTTGCGACCAAGTTGCGGGTGGGAGGGTGGGACGTTTGCACGAGCAGTGGAGAGGACAGCTTCAAGACGGTCAAATATTCATCGCGCAATTTAGACTGCACCACATAGATAGCGCCACGTAGGGTCCACCGCAAACGTCGCTCCACACAGGTTGCCCCACAAAATGCTAGGTTTTCCACGGCCACGTAGATTGCACAGCGTATATGACGCCAAAGATGTTGCACGAGATAGATTGCACCACATACACACATGTTGCACAGCATATTCTGCATACCGTAGATTCTACCACATTGACTGCACAGCGTATATTGGACACCATTGCACACCGTATATTGCACAACCTAGATCGCACTACATAAATTGCACCACGTGTATTGCCATACGTAGATTGCTCCGCATAGATTGACCACATCAATTGCATCACGTCTTGCTCCACATCGAGTGGGCCACATCGGTTGCACAGCACAGTTTGCACTCCGCTATTGCACCACATAGGTTGCTCCACATACATTACATATTTCATATTGACCTCCCCACAGATTCTCCTTTCTACAAAGAAATAAGTTCTACTACCTTCCACTCTCCGGACTTATCCCGGGAACTGATGTTAACCACATAGGATTCTGACCCAATGGTCATCCTACCTTTGAGTTCATACTATCCCAGCCAGGCCAGGATCGGCCCCCCCGCCATCCCTTGCAACAGATACTATGCGCACGCACTCGTTTATCAAAAATCAGCAAATGTGTAAGAATCCCTTGCAACAAATTAAACGAAGTGCACACGCGCGAGCCGTTGCGCGCGCATGCCGAAATCCTTCAAAAACGTTCGGTGTTGGAAGGATTTCAAAATCGAGTGCCCCAACAACATATAAAAACACATAGTTTCGCAACGCGGATTTTCAACAAAAGCGTGCGCGGTCTAGTGTTTTTTTCAAAAAGCCATCTGTTTTTTTTAAAACATTTTAGAGAAAATGTTACCAAGCGGGCTTCGCGCGCGCATGCCGATATCATTCCAACGCCCTGGCGAGCGTGCCGTCGTGAGAATCCCTTGCAAAAGCATGGACACGCGTGCGTCGTCGCGCGCGCATGCGGAAATCCTTCAAAAACCTACGGCTTCGGAAGGGTTTCAAAATCGAGTGTCCTAAAAACATATAAAAGCACATAGTTTCGCAACGCGGGTTTTCAAAAAAAAGCGTGCGCGCGCGCTCCTGTGATTTGCTCCAGAAAGCCATCGGTTTTACAACATGTTCAAGAAAATGCTACCAAGCGGGCTTCGCGCGCGCATGCCGAATTCGTTCGAACGCCTTTGCGCGCGTGCTGGGGTGGCACGTTCCGTGTCAAATAGTACAAAACGAGTCACTCGCGCGCGTGCCGCGCGCATGCCGAATTCTTCTCAAAACCGTCATCAGCGACGCGAAGACGCCGTCATCGTCGTTGGCGTGATCGGCATCGGCGCCGTCATTGCCACTATCATCATCGTGTCTACACTTGTCGTCACCAGCATCGCCACTATCATCGCCATCGTGTCTACACTTGTCGACGTTGCCATGGTTCCGCACCCGCCCAAGCCGCCGACTCGCACTCAAGTGCCCGTTGGGACGTTGCGATCGGTCAGCACCACCGCGGCCTCGTCGGTCGCGCCTAACTACCTGGCTGCTGCTCGCGCGCGCGTGCGCGGGCTGGCGCGGCCGTAAGGATGCACCAGCCATCGCCAAGCACTCCTCGCAATCGCCGCCGCATGAGGTTAGCAAGCCAAGTTGCGGGGTGATGGGTGGGATGTTTGCGCGAGCAGTGGAGTAGACAACTCACTGCGAACAGACATTAAGTGCACACCAAATATTGCACCACGTCGGTTGCACCACGGATTCGAAAACACATCTAGCACAACATCGATTGCCCAGCACATGTTGCTCCACGTAGATTGCACCCCACATATCGCACTACGCAGGTTGTTCCACATAGATTGCACCACGCAGATTGCACCACATAGATTGCACATCATAGGATGCACAACTTATACGGCACAACATCAATTTCACCGAACCTCTAGGTGTAGAAACTGCTCGGCGGACCAGGGTGGGCTCCTACAACGCAGGTCGAGATTGAAACCGACGTGCACATCCAGCTGCAAATCGAATGCTAATCGCATGGCTTCCGGCGTCCAAACCGATGCCCACATGCAGTGGCAATCGGATTTTAACGTTGACGGGCGTGTCGAAATCAGAATCGGCATGCAAACTGGAATGCACATTGTAATGCGAATGTGATTTGCAAGCCAGACTCTACATCGAACTACGAACGGAATTGGTAATCAACACTAGATTCGAAATGCGATCCGGAACGCAACCGGCATGATTTCTGCAGCGCGCACCACATTGCGACATGCAGTCCGACAACATGTGCACCGAATTGCAAATCCAAATGCGATCCGATTGCGTGGGCGAAGTTCAATTCGACATAAACGAAAAGTACCCCACACAACTTCTGTATCACCCGAAGAGTGCTATATGGGGAAGGGTGCGCTACGTTGTGGAATTCCGTGCACCTTGAGAAGCAGTGCGTGCGGCTTCTCTTGGGTCACGCACGGCAGCAAATTTTCCCTTCGACTGGTCCAACCTTGGACGCGCGAATTATCCCGGATAACTGCTGTCCGGGGTAAATCCGAATGCGCCTTCGTTGCCCCAGCCCTGACGATTCGGGAATGTTGGACGCCCGAGTGATCCGGGATAACTGCGATCTGGGGTAACTCCAGTTTGGGCCCCCGAGGCGCGAATCTGTAGCTATCCCTGACCGCCTCCAGCCTTGATGATTCAGGGCTCTGACAACCTGTGCGGCGGGCAGTGGCTATTGAACCGCCTCCAGTCCGCAACAAAAACTTGTGGTAACCAGCCGGGGCTCAGGAGTCAGTCCAACCAAAGGCGGCAGCCGAGGAGCGGGGGCTGTGGAGGGAGAAGAGCGCGGCCGGGGGGAACTGCTTGACCGCCAGGCTGGGTCCGCCAGACACCAGCACGGGTTGCAATGTGCACTGTTTTGGTGCAGTTTGGACTGGTTTGACGCCGCCTTGGTGCTGTCTTGGCGCCCTCTTTCGCTCTGTTGGGCCATGGTTTTGGGATCAGTTTGGGCCGTCGCAGCCTGATTTTCCCACCTTCAGGGCCCGCGCGCGGGGATCGCGGGGCCTGCCTTGCACCAAGACAAGCCCGGTTGCGCCCCGTGAAGACATCTCGAGGTGGGACGAGCGCAGTGGGAAGCGCCAGCGGCACCTCTTGGGCGACCGTCTGACCAGCACCACGGGGCCCGCCTGCGCATGCCGTGGCTTGCCGATGATACCAGGGGGGGCCCGCGACGCGCTTGCAAGTTGAAGGCGAGTCCCCAGGGGTACACAGTGCCACTGGTCCAAAGTTCTCAGATGTGGCCGATGGGATCAGAGGATGCGCGGCGCGACTTGGAGCCAGATGTTCTCCATGCTGGCTTCGAGGATGCTTTGCCGATGCGTCGGCGATGAGGTGAGAGCCTCCGACCCCTTCTACAGCTGGTGCACCACGTGAGGGAACGTCCTCATCCCATGATGGCCCCGGGGACCCACAGAAGTTCTGGGGCAGGTTACTGTCAACCTGCGTGACAAGGATGGGCATCCTTCCCAAGGGTACCCTTGCATCCTTGGCGCCTCGGTCCATCCCTGGCCACGTTCGTTGGCCGCGCCCGTTCGAAACGCTTCGAAATGGGCGTCCCAGGCCCTTGCCTTGTGATGTGGGCCGACTGTACAAGAATGGGCCCGATGGCCCCTCACAGCGAGATGTCTGAACTCGCATGTGTCCGATGTACACCAGCCCTTGTCAGAGGGCGCACGGCCCAGCGTCTGGGGGAGCCGGGGGAGGGGAGATGGCCAAGCGTTTCGCAAGACTTGCCACCCTTGGCCAAAAGCAGTGGACGGAGAAGTGTTTACCTGACTTTCGCCCCCCCCCCCCCCCCCCCGCTCTAGAAGAGTTGGCAGAAGCATGTAGGCTGAGTTGGACACGTCATGGTGTCGCCGGGGGGGGGTCGGCACTCTTTGTGGCCTGGGAGCCTGCTCGGAGGAAAGCGGATGAACCACATACTTGTCTCCCGCGGTTGGGGTTCGAGGGCTCACGTGTGAAGGTTCTGAGGTTGGTTGGTTTAGGCGCGGGCTTTCTTCACTATGGAATGTTTGTTTGGCATGCTCGTCGGCGTTCTGCCGTCTGTTGTGCTATCACGATGTATGCGGCATTGGTGTTCGCCCGCGTGCTTCAGGCCTCTGGTTGTATCCTGCAGTACGTGGGCTTTGTTGCCTTCATCGCGGGGACATTGAAGGAGCGAGCACGATGCAGAGAGTTCCTGCGACCCATTGGATGATCCGTACACTGGGTGATGTGTTTGCATGTGTTTTTATGCGTGATGATCCCTCGCGTGAGTCAGTCAAGACATCTCTGGTTCACGGCGTTTTCGCGATGGGAGAGAGCTTTCATTCCCACCCGGGCGCGATTTTAATATTTTAGGAGGTTCCCATTGCAGGTTCTTTCGAGATTATACGGGGGAGTTCTGCAGGTGGTATGCGTCGGTGGCATGCGTCGGATATTGCCACTATGACAAGCGTGCTCAGAGATGCGACACGCGAGTCCAACGATTCTGGCTGAGGGGGAGATATCCAGTTTGGCAAGTTCCACCAACGGAGTTCGAAGACATGGTTGGCCGCTACCTTTGCTTCAGTCTCTCTCTCCCCATCAGACTCCTCGCCTCGTGTGTCCCGCTTCTTCAGATGAGGCCACTCGAAATTACCAGCGCGCATGTAAGCATAAAAGGCCCAAAGCGTTGCATGTGTACCCTGGTTGTGGGTGACTTACGTGCCCTCCTTCTTGACCAAATGGCAGGAAGCGCTCGTCAGCGGCGGGGGCGGGAGGGCGCACGAGCGCACCCAGCAAGCAAGCATAGGGCGCACGAACATGTCTCACTTCTTGCTCCGAGATGCACAGCACAGACCATTATCGCAGGCGTTGCTTCTATCCCCCCCCCACACTCTTCGCTGACGAGTTAAAGGGGCTAAGAATAGGATGGGCAACCTGGGAAAACACCCCCAGGGTTCCAATCGGACGCACCACTATCGAGGATGGGCGCCACCCCCTCGTGTCTCCCAGGGTTGAGCCCCAAAATTCTGGTCCGTTCGAGGACCCCACGAAGCCTGGGATAGGCGTCGAAATATCCCCTGTGAGCGACAGTGCGCAACCACCCGAACGGTGTGATGTGTGCCTGAGTTGCATCGCGCAAGCCGCTGACTATCAGGCAGCGTTCTTCCATTGCTCAAGTCGTAATGCTCGAGAGATTGGAGCAGGTATTGGCAGGACACCGAGATGACCGCAGGTGTCGGTTGAGTATCAGTCTAATGGCAGATCGCCTTTCCAGGCACTTCCCCGTTTGTCGTAGAGAGCTCGTCTCGCCAGCGTGAGCTGCATGTGGCTGTCCTGTCGCCCACGTGCGATGCGCTCACTCCGAGCCAAGCCCGGATGTCTGCCGTCGCCGCCCCCTGCCGGCCTACGCGCGCAGGGCGGAGCTCGAGGCGCGCGGGCCCGCGCGCGAGCGAGTCGGGCGAGCGGTGCGGGAGAGCGAGTCGCCGCGCGACGGGCGGGCGGGTCCCGCGGGCAGAAGCCCTGCCCAGGTTCATCGTGTGGCTGCTCCAGCAGCGGCGCGGCTCCGTGACGATCGCCCGGGCGGAGGCGCGCGACGACTGCACCGTGGTGCCCCGCTCGGGCCGCGGAGCGCGCGGGGGGGGGGGGGGGGGGGGAGGCCGGGCCTAAGAGCCCCCCCTCGGCGCCGTGGAGAAGACGCGGCGGGTCGGCCCACGGGGAGCCCTTGCCGGGCCCTGGCCCGTCAGAGCTGCACCACCCGCCAGGCCGCCCCAGCCCGACCCGAAGGCCTCGAGCGGCCTTCCAGTTCCTGGTGTCGGGGGGGTGTCGGGGGCCCTGGACAAAAGTGCGTGTGAGGCACGTATCCCTCCCAACCCGAAAATGTCGGGTCTTCGGTTTGGTTTTGGTGGTCTGGCAGGTGGCCAAAACTTCCTTGGGGTTGTGGGAGCCTGGCAGAGTGCTACTCCATTGACTTTGTCAGGGGATATGTTGTGCCCACGCCTCCCGTGTGTTGGGTTCTCGTTGGGTTCTCGTTTTGAATCGAGCGCTGTGGTCTCCACAGCCTGGCGCAAGGCCGGAGGTTTAGGGGCGCTCCTGACGCCTCCACAGGCCGTCTCTCTCTCCGCCTCCTCCCCCCCTCCCTCCTCCTACCTCCTGCCTTCTCCTCCCTTCTCCTCTTGCCTCCTTGCCTCCCGTGCTCGTACCTTTCATGCTGGGGGGCTGCGAACTGTGCAACTCCGCAACTTTCGTGAGATCCTGGGAGGCACGGCGGAGGTGAGGGCAGCGGGGATCCCTTTGAGATCTTGCGGCTCCGTCGGGGGCTGCGAAGTACGCAGTTGTCGCCACTTTCGTGGGCTCCTGGGCGACACGGCAGAGGTGACCTCTCTCTCTCTCTCATGAATTCTGCATGTTAGACGTGTTGGGCAAGGTGCACGGCGCGAAGCGCCAGTGCAGTCCTGTATATACAGGTGTACGTAGCACCCCACAGTCGCGGATACGAGCGAGGGGGCGGTGGGGACGTCTGAAGTCTGCGAGGCTCTGAGGAAGCCCGCCGCAGACGCACAACTCTTCGCAAAGCATATAACGAGCCCGCCGCAGGCGCCGATACTTCGTTAAAGAAGTGTGGATGGGATGCGGGGTGGATCGCGGGTGGGCTGCGGTTTGGTTGCGGGTGTGTGTCGCGGGTTCGTCGCGGGTAGGTCGCGGCTGGGTCGCGGGCCGGTCGCGGGCCGGGTCGCGGGTGGGTGGCGGGGTGGGTCGGTGAGGGTCGCGGGTGGGGTCGCGGGTGTGGGTCGCGGTTGGGTCGCGGGTGTGGGTCGCGGGTGCGTCGCGGATGGGTCGCGGGTAGGTCGCCAGTGGGTCGCGGGCGGGTCGAGGGGTGGGTCGCGGGTGGGTCGCGGGTGGGTCGAGGGCCGGGTCGCGGGTGGGTCGCGGGTGGATCGCGGGCGGGTCGCGGGTGGGTCGCGGGGTGGGTCGCGGGCGGGTAGGCGCAGTTTGCGCGCCAATCCTGCCGCGGTGGCGCGAGCCTGGTGTAAATAGAAAGGGTATTTGGACTACACTCAACCCGCATAGTAAGGATGGGCAACCTTCCCAAGTGTAGCCTTGCATCCTTGCCTCCTCGGTCCATCCTTCGCCACTTTCGTCGGCCGCGCCCCTCTCGAAAAGCTCCGAAATGGGCGTCCAAGGCCCTTGCATCCTTATCGCGCGCATCCTTACTATACGGGTTGACTGTAGGTTGCGCGATCCTGGTTCAATTTCTGAGGAGCATGGCCCCAGGGACTCGAATGTCTCTTATTTTTTCTTATGCTGCGCTCGGCCAGGTTGGTTTTCGGCTTCCCCCCTCGGGCATTCGACAACCCTTCGCAGTAGGAAGCAGGGAGTGGAACTGTCATATCAGAGGCTCGAAATCGGAAGCAGCGCTGGAGCTGCGACTGGGACCGAGGAGCTCAGGACTTGCATCTGTTGCTGAAGCCCGATCTTCGCAGCCTGGTGGCCCTGCGAGGGGGCCGGCGGATTATTGATGGCTGCTGCTGGCGTTTTTGTTATGATTGCATGTTGTTGTTTGCATGTTTTGGATGTCTGTCTTCGGTAAACGTCCAAGGTATACCTCACAGGAACATGCTCTCATGTAGGTTAGAAATTTGTGTTGTGTGGACGAGTGACGCCTGGCATGTTCGAAACTGCCAATGAGGAGCCCGCGGCGGGAGACTCAGGGAGCATCGGGAGCACCTCCTCTTCCAGTTGCAGCCCGTCAATTCCCGCCCCCTTCCCTGCGTTCCCCCCGCCCCATTCCCGCCCCCCCTCCTCCTCCCTCGCCCCTTTCCACCCCCTTCCCACCCCCTTCCCGCCCTCGTCCCCTTGCAGCCCCGCTATCGGTCTCCTCCAGCCTCTCCCCGTCATCTCATCGGTCCCCTGCGGTGCAGGTGCACATCCCCGTGAGCTGCAAGGGATGGGTGACCGGCAACCGTGGCAGCGAGCTGCGCCGCATGGAGCAGGACATGGCAAGAGGGCAAGGAAGTACATGCTCCTGGAGTGCTCCCCACTCCCCCCCCCCCAACAAAGCTACGAGAGCTCTCGAGGTGGGGTCCGGCCACCTGGAGCAATCCAAACTGTGTTCCGGGTGTCAGTTCATATTCTGTTGGACACCTGGCGAGCACATGGCGATGATGTGGGCTGGAGCCGCGGGCCGCTTTTCCTTGCTGCGTATCAGTTTCCAC